TAGTAGGTAGTAGGTAGTAGGTAGTAGGTAGTAGGTAGTAGGTAGTAAGTAGTAAGTAGTAAGTAGTAAGTAGTAAGTAGTAAGTAGTAAGTAGTAAGTAGTAAGTAGTAAGTAGTAAGTAGTAAGTAGTAAGTAGTAGTAGTAGTAGTAGTAGTAGTAGTAGTACTACTACTACTACTACTTGGAGGCTCTTCTTGGTTGTCAAGTAGTTACATTAAAAACTATGAACATAGTCTACATGCTATCTAGTTAGTCGACTTAAGCTATTTTAGATAACAGAGTTAGTAAGTATACTAAGTGGTTTTAAACATGCCCCCAAAACTATAGACAAAAGCCCTTTTGCCAAGTCACCAGCCGCTGGCTTTGAAGCACCTGCGTGGGAAAGAAAGGATGGGAGTGTCATGTGGACTGTACATGTACCAATTGACCTTGGTGATTGGATCTTATAAGGACACCATTCACGCCATGACCGCTTACAGGGTAGTGTGCTCGTGAGCAGGTTCTTTGTTTTATTTACATGAAAGGGGTATATATATTTATAACATATAACAGGACATGACACGATATCACATCACATGGGAGGGACCAGTTGCAACCCATGCAGCTCTGTATTTTCCTCCTCACCACCATTGCGTCTTCACCTTTGAGGCTGTACATGCAACATGTCTTGACCTCTTTGGTCTCAATCACTATTGGCACATCCTTCACTTTGTACATTTGGCCATGGATGTGATCCCAAGGCCTTAGAACCGTCAGAATCATGGCTCCTTGCCTCAAGTGGCACATCACCTGGCCAACCCCCTCCGAGAACTCCACCACATCGTCCTTGTGGACCATCTGACCGTCTTTGGCCTGTGCCACCCATGAAGTCTTCACTTCGCCGTCACCACGAAGCACAAGTCGAGCCAGCACTGGCGACCTTCTCATTTACCAACGATACACCGACATGAAATGTGTCTTGCCTTAAGTCCAAGAGCTGTACATGGATGATGTCTGCAAGAATGCTCTTCTCAAAAGACTGGTTGAAGTTGCAAACAGGATCACCGAAACGCTTTACCACTCTATGTTTTCTCTCATGACAAAAGCATGAGAGAAGGCAACCAAACCGCTCAAGGAACTCACCCAGGTGTAAAGACATGTGGCACTTGGGTACCCAGAATTCGTCCCCATGCGTCTGCAGAAAACAGTCCAAGTACTCCTTGATAGCTGTATGCAGTTCTGATGGTCCCACCGACCCGCCACGGTTCAGGGTCATCAAGAGATCCAGAACCGCGCAGAGCTTCAAGGAACAAGAACACGCCCTCCTAGCGGCAGGAACCTGCTCCCAAACAAAGTTGACCAGGAATGCCCGGATGATTGGGTAAGCAGAAAGGAGCTCTGATGCAGAGCATTTGAGCGGCTCCCCCTTTGTATCCCTTTTGGCAAAAATGTTCTGAGGCCTGCTCCCTCCGAATTGCTTTGGCCAGGTGAAGGAAGAAATGAAGTTGTCCAACCGCCCATCAGGGATTCCACTATCTCGCAGGGATGCACTGAGGAGCCCAAACTCGCTGTTAGCAACCCCGTGTACAAGAAAAATGTGGAACCAGTCAAACATGACAGATTCTGGAATCTGATGCCCATAGGATTCTGAAGTTAGTAGTCCGCCCGGGCGCCAGTTCCATCCCAGTGCAGTTTTGAGACGGGCAAATTCAACCTGATTGAGGACATTGTGCTGCTCAGATAGGTGATTCACAATTCTCTGAACCGTGGCGTTCCTCTGAAGTCTAAACTGATCAAAGTCTGTCGATGTCCCCCGAACCAACCCTTCTGTTCGACTCATGGAGTCAAAAGATCCCTTGGCCACGACGTTGCTACAGCGACAACAAAACAATTTCCCTGCAGCTCCTTTGGACTCCAGGCTCTGCTTCAGAGCCACCTCATCGGCAATGAGGATCTTGAGATCCGAGAAAAAGAGCATAGGCTCATCCCGAAACTTCAGCATGACTCCATATTGAAAACTGTGTTGTCCAAAGAAGCTGTCCTGGTATGTCTTTATGATGGCGCCGCCAAACAATGGTCTATATATATATATATAGCTTTACACGAAGTGATTGGACATATACAAACATGGCAAAAGGTCAACCTAACATGACCTATACCCAAATCCATGGGGCTATATACATAAACCAATGGCATCAAAACATTACGCAGGAAATGAAAGAAGAAAATCATTCACAAACATTTTCAAGGGTCCAAGATCTGGGGCCACACGACTGTGACACCCCCTAGTTCAGCAACCTTTGTGCTGCGGATAACCGCAACAGGAAACCAGCATTTCTCACTGGCCAAGGCCCGGCTACCAAGCTGCAACCAGCTCCAATAGAAAACCTGCAGTTTTCTATTGTTCTGGTGTCGAAGCGCATTCCCCAACACCAATTCGTCACAATATAGAACCAAGCTCCACTTTTGACCAATGGATGGTGGGTTCTCGCGAAAGGCTTGACTCAGGAGGGTGTCCATACCTGAAGAGTTCTCCACAATATGTGTCCAAAGCGCCACTGGGTTAATCATCGACACAGCATATTTCTTTGAGCTGGAGCCTTGAAGGCTGACCTGCTGAAGGAGAGGCCCAAACCTGGTTGTCATGTTTTGAAGTGCGGTATCACGCGCTCGTTTAATGCTTCCACGCGAGGTGGCAGCATTTGCATCGAGCTTACCCGCTTCCTGTAACTTCTTTAGCGTGTCAGCCAACCCACGTTGACTGACATAAGAAGAACGACCCAAGTCTGCCAACCATGACATTTAGTTCAGTGGGTCATCTATGAGCATGTTGCTTGATCACCTGAAGCTTTGCCAGCCTGGTCTCGTCTGTTTGATCTTGCAAGCGCCATTGGGATCGATGTCTTCAAATGACATCCAATCTCAAAAAACTGCTTCTTCACCAGAACATCATGGCAATTAAGCTATATTTGCTTTTGATTGTGAACATCATGCAAGGCAAATAAGGCAAGGTTTGTCATAAATTCTTCTTGTGAATCGTGCATCAAACAAAAACTATATAGAATCAATGATCATGTGTCTTCTTGTTGCGCAGGGGCATCCCCACAAACTTGCGCGCAATCCAGCGTCAATTGAACCAGCTGAATACATCAACATGGGGCGCATGTCTGTCAGGACCTGCGATCACGGTGATCCAGCGTTGATGTGCACTCAAGTGAAAGCAACTGTGCTGGAACTGTGCACACACAAACACACATCTCTGAAACCAACTGCATGGTAAACTGACTGAATGGCAGTCTCCCCCATCAAGAACAAATGGCATTGCATGCCAATCAAAAAGGTATATATATATATATTATCAACATAGCACAGGTATATATGAAAGGCTCGATTGAAATCTTTGCAACACCAAGTGAATGATCCTATATAGAAAATGATATTGCGTGAATCGCTGCAAGTCTTTTCACCATCCCTCGACCACATGATCATAGCTGGCGCTTCCAGCAGCTCGGGCAGCATCCAGGCTTCCACCGACACCCTGAGCAGCCATTGGGGCGGCGTCGCAGCCGCTCTGCCCATGTCAGGCCTGCAACTTCATTTCCTCGATGAGTCTGGCTGCTCATGGACATGGCTGCAGGCTTCTTCATGTTCTTCACGGTCATCTTCATGACCTTCATGGCCTTCATGGTGGTCGACTTCATGGCGGTCTTCATGGTGGTCGACTTCGTGCCTGCACTTGCCTTCATGGCGGTCTTCATGGCGCTCTTCTGCATGGCCTTGTTGCCACCATTGCTTCTTCCACGCCTCCCTCTCCCTCTGCCTCTGCCTCTGCCTCGGCCTCTTGCTCCACCCGCGTCTGCCTCATCCTTGTCATTGTCTTCCCAATTGTCCATCATCATCCGCGCTTGTTTAGCGGGTGAAATGGGTGGAGGCTGATTCTCAATCGGCAAAGCACTCTTCTCAGGCGGCGTCTTCTTCTGCTCAGGCGGATTCTCCTGTGGCTGTTTGTGCTCAGGCAACTTCTCCTCTGGCCCCTTCTGTTCGTTGGCCTTGTTGGTGAAATTGCCAATCATGGACGCAAAGGTCATCATGCCATGCATCCACGACTCTGGTGCCTGTGACGGCCCTCTTGACCCAGTTGCTGGCTCTGCAATCCTTCGATCACTTTTTCGCAAAGGACCTGCAGTCACTGTCTTGCGCTCAGGCCGCTCAGTGGAAGGCCCCTCGTGCTCGAAGGCGCTGTTGTAGAGCTCCTTGGGCATGTCCTTGACATTCCCGGAGTACAACATCAAAAGGTCGGTCTGCTTTTTAGTGACTCCTTTCTTTTTGCGCAGGTCCTTCAGCAGATCTTTGAAGCAAACCAAGCTAGTGTTGTAGGTCTGCGCGTCCTTCAGCTCGTCATTGCAGCCAAGCTCCATCAGAAGGCTCACGGCAAGCCCACAGCTGGGTTCATTGGGAAACCACAAGCAAAGCCTGCCATACGCCTCTGCAAGCACTTGCAACTTGCTCTTCAGCGAGGGCGGTCCCTTCAAGCTTGTCCACTCGCTCTTCAGCAAGTAGGGTGCAAGGTCAATCACCTTCTGGCCAGACTTGGTCTCATTGCCACTTCTCTGAAGAAGG